GACTTGGATTTCTCACTAGCCTTTGCTGAGCGGGCTTTATCAGCAACATCTAACTCGGCCAATATGGCATCGAGATCTTCCTCAGCTGAAAATGTCTGGTCAACCGTTATCAAGTTCAGCGAACCTTTCTTTGGAGCTGCAGCCTTGCCACTTTTCTTGACCATTTTCAAACTGAAAACTATAAATGAGGTAAAATAGAAAAAAAGGATTATAATGGACAAATAAAGAATGATACTAATGATTGAAAAAATACGAAATCCATAGTAATCCGTTCGAAATTAAAGGTCTGTATCTTTTATCACTGGGTCAATTTGGCTTACTGTGTTTTTTAAACTTGATATGTTCCCGCGGCTTGAAGCTTGTACAAAATAATAAGTAAATTTCCATAAATTATATGAAATTAAGTTTTTGTGGATACCGAAATGTTTAGAATGACACGATTAGGAATAGTATCGAAAATATTTTGAATTGTTGTTTTCATAAGGTTTTGTTAAGCTCATAAGATGTTGCAGCAAATGGAAAACACTTTCTCAAACAATCCTAATTTCGAAGACAAAGAGCCATTTAAGAACAGAATGAACTCTATGACCGATGACTTAATGAGTTGTCATAATAGACAAAAAAGAGGTTTGCTCTTCTATTTATCCTAATTCATTATTCGTTTCCAGATATAAAATTTTCACCGATTGTCCGACCAGAAAATGATGATTGCAAAAAAAGTGTTTTCGGACGTCGAATGGCTCTTTGTAAAATGCGTGGTGAAAGTCCTTTGGCTTCAAAATCGAGTACTACCGTTGTTGAATGTACAGAGACAACTACAGTATATTCTATGGTGAAAGTACTGTCCTCTTTGAATAACCGCCGCAATATTCAAATTTAGAACGATGAATTTGAATCTTGTCATTCTACTTGCGAGTATACCAGTACAACAGTTGAATGTGATTCAGCAAAGTATCATTTCACTCCAAGGTAACCTTGGCAGCTCAGAATCAGCTTCATCTTTTTACTCAGACCACGAAAAGCCGTCAATCCTTTTCATAATCAGCTCCTGGATAGCATTCATTTAAATACTTTGAGTCCAAGTTTATTTGAACCTATGCCAAGTCCCAAGGTTTCTATCGAGAGCTAGATTTAACCTTTAACTTTTTTTCTTATAGGACAAAGAAAATATTTGGAGCATTGATGAACGTGCAATTCTTTTGCCTGTAGACATCACTGACGAGGATATTAAAATGACCACATATTCCCCGTATAACTCACACGTTGTTATTTTTTTATTTAAAAGCTTACAGAGATCCTGTTTTCGAAGCAAAACTCCATGCTGGGCTCGAAATTTATTGGAAAAGTAACGCAGGCTATGTGCCATCCCCAGAAGGTCCTAGACCTGTTAGTTTCACTTTCTCTTGTAAATATGATTAACTTCATCTAGATTCCCGTTGATAGTCCAACAGTCATCGGTCCATTCGAGAATGCACATCATTCTTCTCCGAATGGTAGACCACCTGTGGCCAGAATGAGAACTATAACGAAGCGAAATATTAAGTGCCAAACAGACTTCACTATCCCTCCTTCGTTTTCTTTCGATTTTCAAAAAATCCTAGGTTTTTGTTCTCACATTTTCTTTCTGACTTATTCAATTAGGAGCACAATGTGTTTATGGAGAGGGAGAAGAAGCTAATGAGGAAGAATTCAACGTTTCTACCATGAACACTTCTCTTCCGAGAAAGCTCTTCTCAGAAGACGATTCCTTCATGTCTGATAATGATGTCGAAGAAGATGCGATTGTGAGTTGTTTCAGATGAATTCATCTATATGTTTCTCTACTTCATAGGATGAAAATGAATTCAATTGTAATAGAGAAGGTGATTTATGCGATCTGGACGACGAATCGGTGATCATGCACAAGGATTTCTGCTTAGACTTGTCACCTATAAAAAAAGATGGGGAGTAACCGCGCTCTAGTGCGAAAATTCTGTGCATTCATATTTCTATGAGAGAGATTATTTAATAATCAAATTTCCTATTTTTTCTTGTGATTTTTCCATTTCTTTGTTCAGATTAATTTTTTATCGTGATCTCGGAGTTTTTGAGCTCACCCTCTGTGAATAAGCGCGTCATAGTTTATGAAATATCTGTGAATTTATAAGCCTTCTCTATTCTTGACTATGGTTATGTATGTAAGTCATTAACCTAAAACCTTTATTTTGATACCCATATTAGTAAGGTAATGGGTTTTTGCTTAGCACGGGTTTTAGAAATATAGAAATCCTCATTACCTTCGTACCCTGTTGTTGTCAATCTTAGATTAACACGATCATTGTTTGATATATGTACATGCGTTGATCTCATGAATGTTATTGCGAGATTAGCTTTGTTAGTAGTCTGAGTTCAGTACACTTATACAAAACAAGATGTTAATGAATACATTGTTCGTGATTGCAGGTTCGACATGAAGTTGCTCACACACAACTTCCTTTCATCCCGATTCTTGAAGGTAAGTTCTGTCGTTTTGACTAGTTGGAATGTATGCAAATAGGGTGCCGCCCAAGGATATCCGCTTAAACTGGTTGTCAACGAGAAGAACGTCTTACCAAACGAATACAATGCCGATCTCGTCTCAGCTCTTATGGGCAGGGTGAGCCTTTTTCAAATCATTCTACGTTTCATACTTGTTCAGATTGATTATGAAGCTCTTCTTTTGGCAGCTGAAGCTTCTGGAGAAGCCGGAAAGCTACCAAAAGTCTTACCAGACAAATCAAACTGGAACGACGAATTTCTTGAGGAGGTGGGCGATATTATATTAGAAACTTGAGCATTATATATTTTCAGGTTCATCGGTTATTATATTGCATTGATGTTATAGATGGAGTACTAACTTGTCCTGATACTGGACGGGAGTTTCCCATAAAGGTAATTTCATGAGTATCCGCCTAGGTTGAAAAATATTTCCAGGATGGAATACCTAATATGTTGTGCTCGGAGGAAGAAGCGGCCTGAATCATAATATCTCATTGTTGTTTTGTTTTTGTTACGGATGTGTTGAATGAATGTGTTTATAAACCTATACGATGATTATGATGAACGGCTTTCAAGCTCATGCTAATCACTATGTGGAAGTTTATGAACGTAGGAAAACACTATCACATGTGGTACACATGATGTAGGCGTGCCTACACAAACGGAAGATAAATTCGGACAATCGTGTGAGAAAATTATCTTTTCACTCTCTTGAAGGGAACAAAGAGCATTTGGTGTAGGTGCAGCGACTTAACAACATTATCAAGCAGGAGTAAGTTCTTCTCTTATCATAGTTTTGTAAAGAAACTTTTATTTGAAAAAAAAGATTATTGTGACTACAAGCCAGCAATGTAATTAAGAGCCTTTGGAGGGAGAGTGAGATTTAGATATTTTCCAGAATTAAGAGAAAAGATCACTATTCGTGTAAACTATGAAAAATCACACCTGAAAGGTAACTAGCGATAAGAGGCAATTGGAGGGAGAGAAAGAATGAAACACATCAGTGTAATGAAAACGCTATTCATTATATGTTTATTAGTGATCAAAAGATCTCGTAATATTATTATTCCCGTTTTAGTTGGTTTTTTGTTTGGTTGGTGGCTTCTTTACGATGTAAGCTCTGTAGAAGAACTGAGCGAAGAGGTAGAGATAGCTGAGATACATAACTCCGCCAATAAGTAAGACATTCCAACTGAAACCATCAGATATAAGTGATTGATTTGCAATTATTTAGCTCACCTAACGGCGCAGGAGGGAATGACGTCGAAGCTCTTGATGTAGACTAAATGTCCGAAGATGTAGCAACTGATGACGAATTGAGCAATTTGAATAGTAGTAATGAACTTGGCAACAAGTCCAGGTGTTCTAATCTTCAAAGCACGAATTCCGAAGTAGCTGAAAACAAGAGGTTGTGTTAAGGAATTTGAGATGAATCACTTACAAGTACATGATAGTGTGGACAGTGAGGTTCAAAGCAAGAGACCATCTAGCCCAAGCCTGATGTTCAGCATAGGTCATCTCAGCGTAAACGAAAGTAGCAGCATGATGGTACCAATGCATGAAAATGACTGGACGCTTTCTGAAAATACAAGTTAGTTATAGAATGAAGAGCTCATCTTACCTTAAGACAAGGAACAAAGTATCTCCCAATTCTGGAAGCTTGGACATTACGAACATCCATCCCCAGAATCCAGTGGATGGGTCGGTGTAGTAAGTGTGGTTGTTACAATAAGATCCTGGAAATTAATGATTAATATTGAACAACTCATATATTAGTTTACCAACGAAACCGTCCTTGATGAAAACGGAAACCAACTCAGGAATAAGTTTGTAAGCAGCGATTCCGGAGAAAATGGAGAACATGAAGTTCCAAATGGCCAACACGTTGTCAAGTTTGTATTCCTTTCTATTTTTCATAATTCTCTGTCCTACGAAGATACTGATAATATAAAAAACGGCTAACTGAAATAGGACTTGTAAAAACCAATCAACTCATGTCGTAACTTACTTTGAAAGATAAAGGAACGAATTCGGACATGAAAGAATCAGTCTTGGGAAGAGACCATTGTCCAAAGAAGACATCGTTGAATGTCGCCACCTTGGTCTCAGCCATTGTTTTACCTCAAAATTATGAATGAATGACAGATTAATGCTTTTATAAGGACATTATGAGAACTTTAAAAATAAATTTTCCTACGATGGTGCGATACGCATCACGCCACAAGCATGGAATCCGAAGGCAAACGATAAGAGAAAAAGGTTCAGATAATGCTATTTTTGAACCAAATCATACAAGAATTCGAAAAAGAACGCGCCATTGATTTTATATTGAAATGGAGAGAAAGCATGATTGCCCTCAAATGGGTACAATGCGATGACGAAATTTACACGGATGGCATGACAAAAACGTTTCAGAAACTTAATACAGAGTATCAGTTCACTATTCCAGTTGATGGAAGAGAACTTTTATCGGAATATTTTTATCAATTGATAACATAAGACAGTGAAATTGAAGTTGACTATTAGAATAAGTGACTCTTTGACAAATCGTTCTGATAAGCAAGCAAGTGTGACACAATTGTCGTAAAAGTCGCAGTTGAATAAATTATTTTTGCAAAACGAAGAGTAGAACGAAAATGTTACTCCGTATATTCGTTAGTAGTTCGAAAGCAAACTCTAGTTCGAATTCTTTGGCGCAATACAAGAAATTAGGAGAATGAGTCTTTTATCAACAGTTTCTGATCTTTGGATTGCAAAATTTAAGAAAAACAATAAATTATAAAGGTCTGTATGGGAGACCAAACGAATGATGAGACAGTTAGAGTTTGACTTGGCAAGTTCTGGGAACTTATATTGACCTCTGGAATCAATAAGAAGCAAATATGAGTTTTTGTTTAGTTTGGTGTTGAGAGAGGAGAACTAGAGAAAGAGAGGAGAGGGAGAGATAGTTTTGTATCCCTTTCAGTGTTCGGAAATTACTATTAAAAAACGCTGTTATTTGAATATGAAAGAGAGATAGAGACAGAATGAGTCACAGTTGAGAAGCAGATCAAGAAACAGTCCACATGCGGTATTGCGGGGTGAGGAAGTGAAAACTAAGAAATCTCAAGAAATATTACATCACAGATATGTAAGTAGAGGGAGAAATTTATGAGCTGATGAAATGGTTCCAACACCTTATATAGGCAGGGCAAGATTAGAATAAGGCATTTTTTGATGAGAGACACTCTATATGGTGCATAGACAATGACCACATCATCTTTTTCTCTGTTTCTCCTAGGTGATCATCTGTTTCTTTTAATTCAGGTTTGAATAGAGGGTGGCATGATACTTTATCTTTCCACTTCACTCACATACATGGCGCGATAATCAGCAGACGGGGGGCGAAGGTCGTTTTTGATACGAAAGATAATTTTCAGAATTGAATAGCTTTCAATAGCCACTTTTTCGATTCGAACAAAAAAATACATTATCTTATCTAATTAGGTTCAAGCCACGTGAGCATCTCTTGAACAGGATAGATCGCTTGTGAAGCGGGAGTTTACCGAAACTCAAATGTTTCAAGAAACGTGAGTGTTTAATAAGATGACCTTTGAAACAAGTGAAAGTTAGCTCCCTCAACGAAAACAGCAGATGCCACTGTCACCAAATAAAGAAAAGAAGATTTCGTCTGCAATGTTATCGCCCGTGGTACCTGAAATAAACTTACGAAGATACTCCTCCAGATTGATTGAGTGGTTAGACGACATAACCATGCTTGATTGCAGAAACTAATCATTTCGAATACGTTTTATCTTACAAGGAATAAATACAATATGGATCTTATTAACAATTAAGTATATGAATATGAAATCAAGGTACGAGATAGATTTTCAAGCTTAACCTCTACCGCATTCTCCGAAAGAGCATAGAGTTCCGAACCTTTCGGTCATTGATGGCTTCTCATCAGTGAAGATCTGAAACACAGAATAAGTTGAAAAGTTTTCAAAAGTATTCCTACCATGTAAGTGATGTTTCCCATTCCTTCGATGAAAGCTTGTGTCTGACCGAAAGGTTTTTCATTATCCGATTCAGGTCTCTCATCTTTCCACACCTAAAGCTCATTGTTGTGATAAGCAATGGGGGTTACTAAAACCTTCAAAATAGTGGGTTTAATAGCGCAGAAAGTATCCTTGATCTTTAGTTCTTTAACTCGGTGTTCGAAATCGAGTTTATACCTGCAAAAGGGAAATATAGACTTCACACATATATCTGAACCTCACATTTTACTCTTGGTGCCATTATGGAAAACGAATTGAGCGAAGAATGGATGAACACTATCCAATTTGACTTTAACATTGATGTCGCAACATTTAACGACAACTACAAGCAAGATAAGAGAAAGAATAGTTTTGAAGGAAGATAGCATACTGAAACTCTTGCTATGCCGTGAATATCAACTGATATTAGCTGGGTAGAATTAACCTAATGTTATCCTTCCTAAAGTGTGACAGCATTGAGGTCAAGGAAAGTGATTAACGGACGAAGATATAAGAAAAAACGTTGTGGTTCATGAAATGGATCATGAATCTCGCCTATTTATCAATTTTTGATCAAACTCGGATTAAGGAATGGAAAAGCATATATATTAACGGAAACAGAGAACATTAACAAAAAAATTTATTTAGAATATATCTATATTATAATTTTATCACAGAAAATAAGGCAGTCAGTCATCACCCAAACCCAATAAGAAAACTATCTTTGTCTTGTTATTTACGATAGAAAACAGAGATCCACAATTATAAATGTACTAATGGCAATAAATTATAATTCTACTATATTATTCCCGTTCTTCTATCACCTCTTTCGGTTCCATATCATGAATAGCCTGAAATAAATCTCAACAATGCTCACACAATGGCTACTAACCTCTGCCATAATATCTTCAGTTTTAACTTCGGGAATGGACTTCTCTAATACTTTCTTATCCTCAACAGTCTGTTCTTCATCATCTTCCCATTTTATTGTTTCTATTCTTTTCGTTTTACTTAATCTCTCATTCAGTGCTCTAAGAGCTTTTTGTCTGAAAAGCAACTATTAATGAATCGTCAAGGAGAGCGAAAAACCTTCTTCTTTCTGCATCTCTTGCCGATGAATCTAGCCCAGGTAAATTAATTGGGACAGTATGAAGAGAATGCAAGTCAACATGGCGAACCTTTAAAACAAATGTTACATTAATAAATCCTGAAAGATAGTGAACCTGTCTTTTACAAACTCCCAGTTTGGCCAAAGAACGGAAACATATCCTCCCTAGAATAGTGCATGCTGGTTGAAGAATACGTGGGAACAAGCTGAAAAGTTTAAAAAATTAACTAATAGGTTTTCACAATGCACAACCGCTCCAGGTCTGAGTTGATTGCAAAAATGAGTAAGAAATAGACTATGATCGACGTGAACGTGGGATAATCAACGTGAAAATGGACGTACCTTGCCCAGGTGAAGTGCTCGTTGCTATCTCCATAAACTGCATCCGATTCATGAGGATTGAAGAAACGAAGATATGTCCAACTCACCTGCACCCCAGTTAAGACTTGCCAGAACACAGTCTGATGAAAAAGTAGAAACAATTCAAAAAAAATGTCTAACCGCATGAAAAATCCCAGTGAAGGAGCCGATAAATGCTAGAAAAATTCCACAGAAGGGTAAGTGAGTATATTTGATTCGTCCTGCTGGTGTAGTTAATAAGATAGAGTCCGGAAGAAACTAAATTCAACTATGAAGAGTAACTTGGAACAAAGACAACCTGCTTGATCATGACCAGCACAGCAGTATTAGCACCAATTAGATCAACTATGGGCGACTCATATAACAATACAGAGCTTCGGAAGAATATAAATTGTAGTAAGGATATTATTGAGACTATAATACATGTTAGAACCTAGAAGGAAGATGTTGAAAATAACAAACAGTGTGTCCTTACGTGAGTTATTCCGAATGTTTTCAAAATAGCTTCATTAGAACTAGCTTGTCGCAGTAACAGGGAACCGAAATGAATTGAGCAAAGTGACCAGGCAAGTAGAACTATATTCTTTCCGACAAAGGCAGAAGTAACGATTCTCCATATTTCAATAGAGAATAATTGAATGGGAAGGAGAGAGAGAAAGGAAGAAAAAGGTGATAGAAGGAAGCCTAAACAAAACTTTTAGAGAATAGAGAAGTACAGGAGATACCTATTAATCTCAGAGCTAACAGTACATGAAAGGGCAAAGCATTGTTTTTTAAAACATTTGAATGTCTTTCCACGACTATTTGAAGATCCCCCAATACTGATTTCATTATCTACTTCCTTGCATCAATACAGGGAGGACCTGCAAAAATAATTTATTAAAACTTCTCGGAGATAAAACTTTAAAGCATGAAAAAAAAGTAAAGCAACGAAATTTCTGAGAACATCATAAAACGCAAGCAATCACAGTTAGTACAGATATTATAGAGAATTTTAGAGAATAATTAATCTTCCAGAGATCGGAAAGCTTGCTGAAGATCGTCATAAAGCTTATTTAGACTGGCTTGAACTTTAGGTTCGCCATCTTTGGGGTCCTGGAAGGAACATATTTTGGAAACCCTACTAAGAAGACTTACCAAAAATTTCATAGAGGACAGCTCGTAGAACAGAGATCCCATTCTCTCTCTGATGATAGTCCAAGTTATCTGAACTCAAAAATTAATAACAAGTTCACTGTTTAATTCAACCTTAGTATCGGACATGGCAGTTTTCTCAACAGCTCCTCTGGCAAGATCATAGAATGCCATCATGTTTCTCATCATTCCTACTGTCTTGTAGAATGGACAAAATCTGGATAAACCACATTAAAGCTGTATGATAAAGAGAGCTACTTGTCGTATGGAGTGTATCCGTTTTGTTGTAAGAAGTCGTCCTTGATGACTCTGGCTACTTCCAATGTAACTTTATCACTCTCAGCCAACGAAGCTTTTCCAACCTACAAAGAAAGTTCAAGTGCAATTAGATGTTCCACTTACCAGTTGGACAATTTCACTGAGATCTTCTTCTTCTTGGAGGATTTCTTTCATCTTAGTACGGAGATTAACAAAGTCAGGATATTCTATAAACGAGATTAGAGCAGCTCAGAGACTTACACTCACCTTTCTCATAGTAGTCCTCAAGAGAACGCACATACTTGGAATAGGAAACAAGCCAATTGATAGAAGGAAAATGCTTTCTTTGAGCCAATTTTTTGTCCAAGCCCCAGAAAACTTGAACAATACCAAGAGTAGCAGAAGTAACTGGATCAGCAAAGTCTCCTCCAGGTGGAGAAACGCTTCAAAAATATATTAATAACATTTAAATAAAGAAGGACTTACGCTCCAACAATAGTTACAGATCCTTCTCTCAATGGACTTCCAAGGCATTTAACACGACCAGCACGTTCATAGAAGGAAGCCAACCGAGCAGCAAGATAAGCTGGATATCCAGAATCAGCAGGCATTTCTCCTGAAAAGAATCTCATGAAATCAAATCGTTGGATCAGCTTACCTAAGCGACCAGAGATTTCTCTAAGAGCTTCAGCCCAACGTGATGTGGAATCAGCCATCATGGAAATATTAAGACCCATATCACGGAAATATTCAGCCAAAGTAATTCCGGTATAGATGGAAGCTTCACGGGCAGCTACAGGCATGTTACTGGTATTGGCAACAAGGGCTGTTCTTTTCATGATTGATGTAGTAGTTCCGTTTACTTCCATTGTTAACTCAGGGAAATCACGAAGTACCTAAAATAATAGTTATGAATGTATGAAATATATAAGAGAGCGAACCTCAGACATTTCATTTCCTCTTTCTCCACATCCTACATAAATGATGGCATCAGAGTTCGAATATTTGGAAAGAGACTGCGAAATTACAGTTTTTCCGCAACCGAAAGCACCGGGAATAGCAGTAGTACCACCCTGTACACAAGGGAACAGTGCATCCAGAACACGTTGGCCACAAAGTAATGGATGATTTGCAGCTAATTTCTCAGACACAGGTCTGGGCTGTCTAACAGGCCATATCTAGAAACATCAGTTTAAATAGAATATAATTATGAATAAAAACCTGGATCAGCGTACACTTTGTGATTTTACCCATGAAGTCAACTTCGAAAATAACATCATCAACAGTGTACTGACCAGCAGGAGCAATATACGTAATGGTTCCACAAACTTTAGGAGGAACCATAACTTTATGATTGATAAGCAAGTTTTCTTCCACTGATCCAATCATATCACCTCCAGCAACATGAGTACCCATCTGAGAAGGAAAGATGAGTTACAGCAGACTATTACAAAATTGTTATTACTGTAATTTCTTTCAAAGGCACGAAATCCCAACGAGCAGTTCTAGAGAGGGCGGATATATTAAGTCCTCTTGGAATATAAATAGATCTGAAAGCTCTGATTTATAAATTGGAAAGCTAGGCAGTTCAACTTAGTCTGTTCGGCAATATCATGCAGAGGACGTTGAATTCCGTCAAAGATGGATCCCATAATACCTGGTCCAAGTTCAACTGAGAGAGGTTTTCCAGTTCTGAGGACAGGATCTCCAATAGTTACACCAGAAGTTTCTTCATAAACCTATTTGTTAATAGAAATTAGAAAAAGACAACTTGTACAGATAAACCTGGATAGTTGCATAGTCTCCCTCAAGTCTGATGATTTCTCCAACAAGTTCTCCGTGCCCAACTCTGACGAGTTCGTACATGGCAGCTCCTTGATGAAAACATGTAATCCGTAATTAGATCGTAATGTACCTGCCATCTTCTCTGCAGTGACGACGGGACCCGAAACTCCATAAACGAAACCGTAAGAAACCTCAGATTCCATAATTGGGCTGAAATGATCGAATAAAATGATGTGCAAATAAATCGATTTTCCGCGTGGATTTGCTATCAGCGGATCGGATCGCTAGAACGTATGTATGGGATAAGAAGTATAGCATTGTTGAAAACAATAGAAGAACAGCTCAAGAAGATAATTTAAAAAGCTAGAATGTTCAAAATAAAACGCATTTAAGACAACTATCACACGGTTCGATTAGTGATTACGGATGAGATCCAGCAGACACAAAATATGACAAAACCAAGGCAATTCATAAACAATATCAGAATAAAACACAAAATAAATACATTTGGTTATAAGACTACACAACTCTGCTCTTATAATGAAGCTTTAATACGAAATCTGGCTCATGTCTTTCTTTCTGACATCGCGAGATTACTATGAACTTGATAGAGAAATCCCTTCCCATCAGAGCGTTATTGTGGAACAGATCAAAATCATTGTACTTATCAACTGAGCCATATAAGGAATATGACAAAAACCTTAATGAAAAAAATTTTAAACGCAAACTACGGAAATTTTTCGTACTTTTTCAAAGTGGTTACCGTACACATTTCTCCTGTTCGAATAAACCGCCTAACTGGTGTTGGCAAATAATCCGTGCCATTTACTAGTTCGATAGTTGCCTAAACGTTTTTAGTTTTTCCTATTAGCCATTTGAAAGAGCACCTGTTTCTCTTGTCTGTGATGAGAATTCAATACATTTCCATTATGGCAGCGATTCTGACATCGGCGATACAATTCCTACAAATCACATTATACATGGAAACTTCATATTAATGCATACATCTTGGGGAACGCGTTTTGGGCCGACTTCAACTTCGGGTTTTTCTTTCACACGATAGCCTTTTGCTTTGAGGAAGTTGGCTCTTCTTCGTTCTTCTTCTTTTTGCATTCCTTAAGAAACCTCTAACATCTGTTATGTGAGATCTGATGCATACCTGGGACAATCTTATAAACAAGTTCTTGTAGAGTACGATCGAACATAACATAATTCATAGGATGAGACTGGTGAATAAGATTGTCACAACGAGGACAGTTATAATCAACGTCTTCGAAATGGGCTAGCAAACAGCTTTTACAGAAGGAATGCAAGCATTCTGTAATGGTCACAGCCTCGATCAGATATCCCTAAAATACGAGAATAAGCTATTTTGAACTAATGGAATTATAACCCTGCAAATCCTGCACGTGATACAGCTTAAGAGTGCTCGATTGTCTTTAGACATGTTCAATACTCTTTCTTTTAGCTTTTCGTCAACTTCTCCTTCTCCTTCACCTTCGAAAAGATAATCAACATTGCCCTCATCTTCTTCATCTTCATCATCGTTTTGGAGATAACGTCGACCTCGTAAACTCTACAACGTTTTACATAAGTGATCATCACATTATCATTCTTACAGAGAAAACTTGGGTCACAGGTTTCTTTCTTGTTTTCACTTCTTTCGGAGCTGGTTTAGGTTCCACGACAGGTGGAGGTGGGGTGGGTGCGGAGCCGGAAGATGAGTCGGATTCAGGAGTTTGTTCATCCTCGTCATCAGAATCAGTAGTGTCTTGTCCTCGTTTTATCCGTTTAGGAGGGTTAGTTTTGGCTCCGCGGCCCTTTCCACCGCCTCTGGCCCCACCTCTTCTCCGTCTTGTCATTGCTGATTAGGAAAAATAAAAAATAAAACATATGAAGTGGAAGATATCACAAGGTAGCTACCATCTGAGCAAAAAAAAAGATCCAACAACATGTAATATTTATACTTATAACAATTTATTAATTAGTCAGAATTAACCGTTTCGATTTGTGTTCATTGTCGGCGGATTCAAGAACCCTCCTCCAGGCATATATCTATGGTAGAGAAAGATTAGAAAAAGAACTTTAAGAAATGATTTACCTTCCTTCTTTCTCATCTTTCTCTCTTTGTTCCTGCGCTAAATGAGCAGTATTCGATAAGAAAGCCAGAACACCTTTATGACAGCGATTGGCATAATGTCCCTTCTCACCACACTGAAAAGAAGAATCATAACGAGAGGATTAGTAAGAAAATTACCTTATAGCAAGTAACTTCTGAGAGAACTTTTTTATCTGGAATTAATGAAAGATCAACTGGACCACGACTGTTAGTATTCACGATTTCTGTTGCCGTCTAAGAAATATAAAATACTGTATCACAAGAAGAAACGAAATTACCTTTTGAGGCAAGTTGGGACAATAAGTGGCTTTGTGCCCTCGTTCATGACAATTATGACAAGTGATTAATTGATTGAACGTCTTTTTATTGTTAGCGGAAGAGTTCTCAGCTGCTGGCAGAGCAAAAGTTGGATGAGCAAATTTACAATCGGGACCTGATAACAGAAAGTAATTGAGAAAACGCAAAACAATCAAACCTTCTGGGCAAAATCCTGCTAAATAGTTGGGACACATAACACGCCTCCTATGTTTATGTTTACAATATGGTCCTTGAAAAAAGATATGAAAGAATGAAATGGGTGAACAACGAACCATGTCGACAAAAACCTCGATCATACCACGGACAATCCTTCAATTTGGATTCAGGATCTATATGTCTAAACGGGCATTCCCTATTACTGCAAGCCACTAAAAGCTATATATGACATAATGTGTATCTTGAATGATATAATAACTGTATTTGGAGAAGAAGAAGCATTCTGGCATTTTCGTTAAATCATATTCGTGTAAGAACTCGCATTGATCACCCTAGAAACCTTCATTACTAACCCCTATTCATTCACCACGCTCACCTTTTTGCACAAACCACGTAACCAATGCTTACAAACTACCATTTTATCACCTACAAGATGTCGTAATGGACATACCTAAAACGGAAAGTTAAAAGGAGACCCGAGAAGCTTCATTAACCGGGCCTAACGAACATATTCCTTGATAATGTTTTAAACATACTCCTCTACCACTCTTGTCCATACCAGGGAACGGTACCTGTTGTAACAGAGTGTCATATGTTAACAAATAATCTTACTCACTTCTCTGGCTCCAGCTTGAGTATAAAGAGCTTCCTCAACATCCGTGAGGGGAATATCTATGGAGGCTATAACGTCGTCCATCATCACCGGGGTTTTATAGGAATCATAACTGTGGGTTGCCGTGGACAACGCAATCATTTTAGAAACTATTTATAACTACGTATTCACCAGTATGATCGGAATCTTTATAAGTAAAGCAAAGTAAGCCAGTTTGGCTTGAAGTTCAACCTTGTAAGAAACTGCTTATTTTCAAAACAGTTCCAGCATGTACGCAGTCACGTATTATTGAATACAGTAAGCAAATAAGCTCAGAAGAGAGACAAATATGAAAAGCCGTAAGAACTTGTATGATTGAAATTACATGAGGTTATAGGAATAAGGAATTCAAAACAAACTTTAGGATCTTACCAATCCTAGAATGATCGCTTCCACCACTTGTTCCCCTCTTCTAGGAAAACAACAGCAAGGATTCCATTCGCAATGAGTTAGTGAGAAGTTGTTATATCATGTGACTGTAATGATTTGTATTGAGTTGTGAGTCTCCAACTCAATATATTTCTATTTAGTCTATATCTTGAACGAAGTTTGAATGCAACCGCTACTCGTGTACCTAACTTTGGAAACAACTCATTGTATTGCATGAAAATAAATTGTTTGAACTATGTGCAGTGTTTTCATTTGCTTTCGGAAGAGAAGGAAGTATCTTTATGTTAAGTAAGTCTTTTAATCCTTTTTCTGGGGTCAAATGACTTCATTTGTCAAGCAAAGGATTATTGAGCCTTTGAAAGTTTCATTTCGCTTTCGAATCTGAGCAAGTGAAGCGACCATGTTTGAGATTCAAACATTTTTACATTTTCTGATTCTATTTTCTTGTTACTGTGGAGAGTCTTCTGCTGGATCAATTGCACAGTCTGTATCATCACTGGTGAGTTAAGAACTATCATTTTGCCATATCATGACTATAGGTTGGACGCCGCCAAATAATTGGCATTAGAGGCCAGCTTCTGTGTGGAACAGAACCGCTCACTAATACAACGGTGAAACTCTGGGATGAAGATTCAGGTTATTAAAAACTTTGTTCGCATTATATGTCTAGTAGGTCCGGATCCTGATGATCTTTTGGCCGAAGGTCTTACGAATGCTACAGGACACTTCTCCATTTACGGAGCTGCAAGAGAACTGACAAATATAGATCCGAAGTTCAAGATATATCATCGATGTCATGTTAAGGAAGGAGTAAGCGCTCTTTAATAACAGCTTGTTAATTGTTTTGCCAAGGGCTGCAAGCGGAAAGTAACATTCGTGATCCCGGATAACTATATATCAGTTGGAAATAAGGTAGGTGTCATGCCAATGTTTGTTTATTTAACTGAAAAATTGAAGCTTGAGAAATGGTTCGAGTTCGGTAGCCTGAACATGGAGATTATTACTAGAAAAGAAGGCACACAATGTTTTTAAGTCCTTGGCTGAGGTTTTTCTGTCTTCGTGCATCGAATTGCAAGTCATAAATAAAAATATCCGCTAAAGCACTCTGTGTGTTTTAGTTGTTTTCATGTAAAAGCTTCGTATGTAATAATCTCAGGTTTCAAATAGTCAATTGCATGAATTTCCGGAAAGGAAAGCAAAAACAGTTGAAAATTGTTTAGAAACCGTGGCCATGACTCTGCTTATTGTGAAAATTCAATTAACAGAATAAATGTCTATAGTTATTTGCATTAAGATGATTATTAACTTATTTTCTTTATTCTTACATTCTTCTCTGCTCTTCATGATCACTTGCACACCTAGCTTGAGATCGAGTAGCTTTGATGGGGTGAGTTGAGTTCTTGACTCCTTTTGCCATCTCTTTTTCTAGCTGTTCTTTTCCCAAAACATAGGCGACCTGGTTGCAGTCATACTGAGAGTTTTAACCAAGTATACGCCAATATTGGTTCTTCGAAATCATTCTGGGATAATCAGTTTCGATCAGAACACCTTCGTGAGTTGGGAAAACAGAAAAATAGAGGAAGAAATCCATTCAGCCTTTGGCCACGCTAACGAATGCAACCGAGTGGTATTCCAATTATGTTATCATCTTGTCGGCTCTAGTATTCAGCTTTGACAGAGCCGTGATGGCTGTCTCAATTAAAAGTTACTCATGGGTATTTAACTTCAAAAGATCTCCTGAACATATTAGTTTTTCAGTTTTGTAACTCTATGTTCAAAGTTTGTCTGATTATAATGACATGGCTCTTGCCAATTGCTTGGGTTCTGCCAATGCTTGACCCGTGCTGTAAATCTCAATACTATGGAGGTCGGATGGAACTAGTGGAAATGCAGAAACATGAAGTATGAAGAATCTCTATTAACGCAACTAACAAGCTTTCCAAAACAGGCAGATGTTACATATGACTCGATCGATATGATTTTCGAGACAATTTTTTATGTTCCTGTACTCTGCTTCATGAATGGATTTTCGTTAATCCTGCTTTATTACCAGTGGTTGAAATTGGTCAGAAAGAAGAAAGCTGGCAACAAATGTCGGTTTCACTAACGCTTTTTAGCACCTTTTATTATTTATAGCGAATAGTACTGGCCCTCTACCAAATATATCAGTTGTCAGCTCCCTGTGTGTTGATAGAGAAATGTCAATATATTTACCGCATTTAGAAGGTTTTGAATCCGATGAAAGACAAGGTTTGTGACCAATACATACGTTGTTGAACGAAGTTCAATTAGAAAGGCTAATAGAACGTCTGGACTTGGAACTCTCGTTCTGTATGATCAGTATCATAGATCAACAAATTGATTTTTGTGCTGTGCTCTTCTACTCTCTGTACTGGGCCAGTTATTCAGGTAGAATCAAGCGCATTGTAAATTCCGCAAACTTTTGTTTAAAGGTTACGTAGGAGTAGGTGCTACACTTTTCTTCGAAGTTTATAATTATTTCTTTGAAATCGGAACGATACTCTCTCCATACGTCTTGTTAGCTTTTTGTGCTAACTTAAGAAAAGAGTTCAAAGAGAAAATAAAGTGTTATCCATGACTTCCAAAATATTTTCATTTTCGTAAGTTGTCTGTTTTGAAGCAATAAATGCATTGAGTAAACAAATGAATTACTGTTCTTTCCGCTCTTAACAAACTTAAACACTGAATACTGAAACTGACAAATTATTGAAAAGTTTATTTCTTCATTTGATTTCATTCACGTCCAGTCGGTCGTCATAAGCCCAATCTATCGCTAGCGCTTCGGACAAGAGATTAGCAATGCTACTATCATTATTGCCGCACAGTGATGAAAAGACATCATTCTACACCTAGATCTCTACTGTACTGCGATCTGGTTTGCGAACAGTTCCACTAACAGAAACCACAGGCATTAGTTTAAATTTCCAAGCAATGAAAAGGATTTTGTTGGGTAACAGCATCCATTTCCGGTTTACTGGTCGTCAACGAATGCAACAGCTCTGTGCGTTTGAAAAAGGATTGGCGAGTATGACTAGGACAAGGTTTGCGAACTAAAAAAACTTTTTACAGCATGACATATACAAATAAAGTGAAAGGATGCTAGAACTTACATATCATATTAGGCGCGTCACTAACTATTAATGACGTTGTTAGTACTACTTATCTTGTAAAAGTAATTACACATCACAAAAAATTGGAATGTTTAGACATAATCGGAACATAAATATAAATCTATTAATTTGTGAGTCTATGAATTCTCAAGATAAAACTATGTCTAACAGGCTACATATATCACATTTTTCGCTGGCCGTTTACTTCTTATCCAAGAAGTCAATATTAAGCTTGAAGAAAACGTAAGGATAGTACTCGTTAACGCCAAGTGACATCAAGGCAGGGGAATCTTCGAAGGTCTGTAACAGCAGTTTAGGTATGTCTGGATAAATGTTTGTTTACGTCAATGGGTCCGGCGGCGGATCCATCTAAGTGAATGTAGAGTTTGTTGAGCTCAGTTCGGAGTTTCTTTTGGCTTCCCTTTGCTGGCTCGACAACAGCAGCTTGGAAATTGACTGGAAGTCCGTACCTAAAAATACAGTTTGTTTTCTTTCCCCTCTTCTCAAATCTCACCTAAGGACAGATTCGACGAATACTCTCAACGCCTTAACGTGGATGTAAGCAGCGAAAATTTCACCAAAATTGATCTTTAGCCACCTGATAAGAGGAGCATACTGACGTTGCTTCTCAGCAACAAGCTTATCTCTCTCGCTCTTGCCCAATTTGAGAGATTCTTCGTCGTAAACGAAGTCTCGAACGATGAACCTTGAAAGATAAAATTCCAAAAGTATACAAAAAATACTCACTTATTCTCCCTAGCGACTTGTTTGAACTCATCGATTACTTTTCTGAACAAGGTAACAGAATACAAGATGTGCTCTCCTTCCTCGAAAAGCAAGCGGCTGGATCCAGGAACAACCATGTTGGTGAAACTTCCGTATTTGGTTTCCCAGTCCTTAGAATTTACTCTAAGGATATAAGTTAGCGAAACCAGTATTGATAACATGACTTACCTTGGAACAACAACAACCAAGGTTTGCAAATATTCCGAATTAAGAACGAAGTCTTCAGCCTTGACAATGTCAGCAAGATCTCTTGTTACTAGAGATCCACTGTAACAAAGATGAAACTAGGAAAAAAAGAATGAATAACCTACGTGGCCTTTCTGTCAATTTGATTCAAATTGTTCTTCAAGTTGTTATAAGCCAAAGACTTAGACTTCAAATCGTTATCAATTTGGGTGATTTGCTGAACGTCAACATAAAAAAAGTTCATGTAGTACCGATTACCTTTCCAATGATTTCAGAGAGAACTTTCAAAGATTGTTTCAAAGGATATTTAGCTCCTTCCCATTGGAACTTGGTAACGTAGCTCTTCATGTCCTCTAAATATCATGACTGAATTAATTTTTTACGCATATGAACATACTGTTTCCAATCAGAAGGTTTTCAGCCAATTTGCTTTTGTCATCTTCAAGAACATCTCCGAAGTATTGAACGAGTTTTCTGACGGTACTAAAAGTTTAAAGATGAAGGAGACAGTCAGGCCAAAGCAACATACGCTTCGGCAGCAGTGTCAAGCTTGCTCAAATCATCAGACAATCCGACAAGTTGATCTAATGTTCCGACCTATAATTAAGACTTAGTATCTTATCTTTGCGAATAATATTCACCTTCAAGTCAGGAATAGAGAACTTAGAGTTGACTGAGAGGTTGGCGGTGGCACGGTTGAGCTTGTCCCAAGCACCATTGGCTCCTTTTTCTCCTGGCGCGGAAATGAGCCAGTATTCACCGGGGAGGGCTGACATCACCTAAAATTTTTATTCATTATTCGTACAAACTAACATACAACATATTATCCTCTAACGAGTGAGGATATACGAGTAGACAGAGAGAAATGTAAAACATGATCACCTAATCTATAATCTATTACGGAATGTGCATGTAATAAGAATAAAAACTATGAAAATGTTCGGTGAAACATTACTCCTTATGGAATAATAGCAATAGAAAGAATAAAAACTATGAAGCCAAAGGGTTAATTATAAGTGTGAGAAATGATGGCGAAATCTATAGAGCGATTAATAAATTAAGATGATGTTCCGAGGATAAGAGCAACAATCATTCCGTAAAGTCCTAAGACTTCAGAGAAAATAAGAATCAAAATCATTCCGACGAAAAGACGAGGTTGTTGGGCAGTTCCTCTGACTCCAGCATCTCCGACAATACCAATGGCGTATCCAGCTCCAAGTCCACACAATCCGCAGGTGAGTCCAGCAGCAAGATGAGCGAATCCCTTGTTCAAATTGTATCCATCACTAGCAGAAGTGACTTTTCCTTTCAAGACCATAGCGACGACAAGACCGTAGATACCGATGATACCAGCCATAATAACGGGGATGACGGACTTCATGATGAGTTCAGGTCGCATAACTCCCATGGAGCAAATTCCGACAGCGGACTTAGCAGTTCCATAAGCGGCTCCCAATACAGTGAAAATTTGGGCAGATGCAGCTCCCATGTACCCGAAGAATGGGGAGTAAGCAGCATTTTCAGCGGTGGCCAAATCGTAAGACATTATTTTCTGAAACAGCTCGAATGAAACATGATGTAGCGAGAAATAAATGAAATGAAACGAGATCACAATCGGGCAAGCTACAGTTCGAAGCTCTTAGTTATGCACCAGCACATACACGAAGTTGCTAACTGGTGATAAAATATCTAAAACAAAAAGGAAAATCAATTCCACCGAAGACGAGAGGTGCAAGATCGATTTTCGGTCTTTGCGGCCAGCATTTGAAACCCAGCGCGGCGGGACCAATTAGAGCGTAGCCTTGAATGACAGCCACTGCATTCTATGAATTCGATCTCTATGTTGAAAACTAAAGAGTACTAAATCTTCCGAATCAGCTGAAATCATAATATATTTTTATTCATAAAGATATTGCTGTATGTGCTTATTTTCCTCATATATGTCGAGTACCATATATGGAAACAGATAAATACATACAACGATCACCGTCATGGCATGACTTAGACAGTATCATGAGAGGTTAGTATTATTGTTCCTGTAATTCATCTTTTCTTTCTCTCGTTTTTTATCTTTCTTTTCCCGATCTTCAGAGGAAGTTGTTTTCAAGTTATTCCTGCCTCTCCATTTCACTACAGATACTTCGATAGTTCAGACGGTTGTCTGATCTCTTTGAGGACAGAGATTTGGCAAACACAACATGTTCGTCGATATGAGCGATTTTAGATCACTTATTAAGCAGAGAAAGTTATCTCTTCTTCATCCATTCACACCCATAAGGTAAATTTGCCACTGCTACTGAGTTTCAGTTTGAATAGGGTTTTCGGGTCCCACCACGGAGTTGACATGACACATTGTTGAATATGAAGTTTGAACCACGGCCGAAATTCAGAGATTGTTCGATAGAACGTGTTTAACTTAACAACTGCTTTTTCTCACGAGATGAGTGTAAGAGTAGATAGGGATCTTGATCTAATAGTTTATTCACAAATTTGCAATACTTTCTTTTTAAAATGGAATAACGTCAAGGTTTATTTTAAAGTATCCACCAGTGTGAGAATCGTCCAACTTTGAGATGGAAGGAACTAGCTGGTCCATGCTCTGGTCAATCTTTAATGCTAGTATTTTAGGAACCATTTAAAACATTATATGGTTACCGTCAATGCAGCATTCGGTCCCCCCATGTCAGTTTTTACCCAACCAGGGCAGAAACAGGCGACTAAAATGTGATATTTCTTCAAATCAATGGATATCGTTTTTGTGATAGAATTAACAGCTGTCTGTAAATTCAGTTGGGTTTCGAGAAAAGATAGCTGGATAACCTTGCTCATACGGTATGCGAGAACGTCGATTTCTCCAGATCCCGTTGTGTTATCACCTATCGATCCCATGCCAGATGAAATATTAACAATACCAGCACGATCAGTTGAAAACTTTTCTGAAGTATCCAGGGCGGATGCTTTCTTGAGAAGAGGGAGGAAGTACTGAAGCATATAAGAGTTGAGCAGAATATTAATAGAATAGCTTACTTGAATCATAATTACAACAGAAACGGCATTTGCATCCAAAATGTTGTTAATGATAGAGCGGTTTATTTCTTTCTCTGTTCCATATTTGGAGTACATTCCAGCATTGTTGATGAGAAGAGTCAAACCATCTTCTCCAACTATATTTTCAACCTGAGCAAGAGCTTTCTTGATGGATTCATCATCCTGAACATCAAGTTGAAGATGGTGGAGGCGAGGATCCTTGATTTCGTTCAATTCCTACAAATTTGTAATCAAGTTAATGTTGTGTAGAACTAAGTTCAGCGTACTTTAGCTTCGGAAGGTTTTCTGCTGGTTGCGAAAATATGCTTGATGTCTTGGTTCTTCAAATAAGTTCTAACAAGTCCCAAACCGATTCCTCGGTTAGCACCAGTGATCAATACTGTTCTTGGAGCCATTTAAATGTTCTGAAGAGAGCAAAATGTTCACATATCGAAAAAGAGAATTGAAACAGCAACAAGAAACATTCGAGAGATGGATAGCTCAATGAAACTCCAGCCTATTTATATATCCTACAAGCGAACGTAAAATGATGACAAAACTATGATTGACCTTACGCAACTACTCTAACAAACACAATCTATTTCAAAATCATCATCGAATCTATAAACAGATGACTACAAAGCACAACTTACAACCTTCACAGCGTTAACATGACACTTTTTCTTAAATTTCTGATCTGAATGAATTTTTCCGAAAAACAAAATACGAAACTAATCTTGTAATTTTCGTTTCGACGCACATGGAACTATTTCGGTTTATTATCGCCAACCATATTTCGGCCTTTTCGAAAAAATACTTATCGAGGTATCGACGTGCCAATCAATCAATTATTTGCTTTGGCGATTACTAGCGTTCAAACAACTTCACAGAAAGAGGTCTTAAAGCTTCATATACATGATGAGTATAGAACATGATGACTTTTGAAACTGTAGACTTTCGCAGTATGAACTATGGTGTATTTTCGAAGAAGACGGGATGAAACTATCTATAGATTGATTCATTATTTGTACACTCTCTTTACCACTTAGGGTTCAGACTAACTGTTCCTAGTGATCTGAGCTTTTGTATTCCAAACGAAATGAATAGATCTTCGTGTTTAATTCATCTTCTTAAAACTCTGTAAACACTAAAGTTTATAATAGTTTATATTAAGATCGCAACCGCTCGCTGTGGAAATGATTGTAAGAAATGAATCCTTCCATTGCCCATGCAAAGTTTGCGTGAAATTAGCATAACGTCACTCCTCGTTTCCAGTTCTGAAGAACTATACGTGGCTGACGCAGTGACACTAATGTATCAATATAAGTTAAGCGGTGGTTTTCAGCCATGCCAAGTAATGGAAGTAGTGATTCACTTTCAGTAGATGGTAGATGATAGTTGGCTGTAGAGATTTCAATAGCAAAAAGAAGTAGATGAAAGTTGACTGTAGAGATTTCAATATCGTTGAGAGCCTCTCTTAGGATAAAGACTGTGACTTAAGCGATGAGTCATACTCAGCAAGAAAATGCTAGGAGCTTAAGTGGCGTACAAGCGATTCTCATTACTCTCTAGCTTATTACTAATAACTTCTGTTGACACATGAAGAGTACTAATCTTTATATATGTTTTCAATAATATTTTAAATAATTTTTTACATAAATACAGAGTCAACTATCTGACTGACTAACTATGATGCAGGCGATGGATCTGTAGATATCTCAATCGCTCGGAATAAAATAAAAGCCATAGCTCCTATACGGAAATAAATGAAACTGAAAGAATTTATTGTCATGACTACCAATAGGAAATATACCTATCAGGTTCAAACGTTACGTAGGAGCCAAAATGCTTCCCACAGACGCATTGCCAAGCTTTTCCATATATCTTATCGAATGTTTCTTTCATAAATTTTGCTATCAATTGCTCAGTTTGATAATTCTCAAAATAAGATATATTTGTATTAAAACTCTGAACTATGAGTCTTACCTTCATTGCTTGAACTGCAGTGTCACAAGCAACCTGCTCCATTTCCGTTGTCATAATACTATAATACACATCTGCTACAATATGCGGTGATCCTTCTCGCAATCGTTGCACTTCAATTCTGCAGAGACTAATGAAAACAGAATATTGTCAAAACTTACTCTAAAGCCTTATGGTTCGACAGTAAGATAGAAGCTTCTTGATTCTTTTTCACAAAGGAGAATGATCGCGTGCACGTTGATTTCGTTGTTGATTTAGTCATATTGCTATTTACAGGAATATTTTCAATGAAATATCAAGAACCAACAGAATATTGCTGAAAATACAAATGAACTCTTGGGGAAAGTCTTTTCGAGCTGAAAAAAAGTCTGCAAAATTCTGTTTGTTTTCTGACGTGTCAAGACGATATGTTAAAAACATCTGTAAATGAGAAGAAAATAAAGAAATAAGGAATAGCGATAAGTTCAAAATTTAGAAAAAAAGGTGAACGATATGTGGGAGGGGATTAGATGGGTGTGGTTGGGGGGAAGTTATGAAGGCTTCAAGTAAAAATCCACATCATCACACATCGACATCATATGGTCCTTAGTGATCATGTGAGTAGAGGAGAGTAAGAACAGAAAGATAGTGATTAGTACATGGAGAGATAATGTGCAAAAGATACAAAAGCTCTTATGTACAAGAATTATGAGAAGAAGTATCGCGAAACCGAGACTGTCGTTTTCAAGATGTTATTCAGCCGATTCTCTCACAAACTCAACAAAGATCGAAGTATCAATAATCAGACGATTGTACACAAACTACTGAAAACGAAAATTACTCACAACATTGAGGATTTAAAAGTTCAACGTGAGTTATTACAACAGCAGAAGCTTCTTGTGCTTACAGAAGTTACTTGTGCACTTTTCTGCCAAAAAACATCGTTTATTAGATTTACATTCCGCTGAAAACAAACAAAAAACGTTCTTGGTGTTAAGTACTTTTTGTTTCATCTTCGAAGTTATCCCTTTTTACAAAAAAAATACGATTGAATGATTTATTTGAAAAAAAACGCAACGAGCTGACATCGTCGTCTTCAAAAACGCTTTTTTTAACGTCTTCTTGTTCCATCCTCGAAGAAAACTCCTCCGTCGATGGCGCAATATTTGGGGCAGATTCCCTTCTCTCCAGCTCCTCCTGGTTGTCCAGCACTTCCTGGTGGTCCTGGGTTTCCATCGGATCCTGGTCCTCCAGCTGGTCCTGGTGGTCCTGGTGGTCCGGCTGGTCCTGGTCCTCCGGATCCGGAGTTTCCGTCTGGTCCTGGTGGTCCGGCTGGTCCTGGTGGTCCTGGTGGTCCAGCTGCTCCTGGTCCTCCCATGTCAGAGGCTCCTGGTTCTCCTGGTCCTCCTGGTTGTCCTGGAGCTCCGTCATTTCCGGCTGGTCCTGGTGGTCCTGGTGGTCCTGGGGGTCCTGGTGGAGAAGCTCCTCCTGGGGTTCCTGGTTGTCCATCAGTTCCAGCGTTTCCTGCTGGTCCAGCTGGTCCTGGTGGTCCTGGTGGTCCTTGTGGGCATGGTTGGCATGGTGGTGGAGTGGTTGGTTCACATGGAGCAGAACCGCCCTTTCCTGGGTTTCCTGGCATACCAGGGGCTCCTGGCTTTCCTGGTCTTCCTGGCTTTCCTGGGTTACCCGATGGACCTGCAGGTCCTGGTTGGCAACATCCTTCGCATGATCCTCCTCCTCCGCCAGAGGCGGATCCACCACCGACAGCAGCAGCTCCGGTGTTATAAGCTTGACGAGCGGTACGATTGGCTACAGGGATGTCCTTAAGGCTGTGGACCTCATTCCAGATGTCCTTAGCGGATCCCTAAAAATTAAAGAAGAGTGTAAAGAGAATAATAAAGAAACAAATACTTTGCAGAAGTTCACTTCGTTGTGAACTTGCTTCTTGATATGGTGAACATAGTTGTATACCATAGGAAGGGTCACAAAGACCGAAACTACGGCAACAACCGAAAACGTAACGGCAGAATATGCCACGAAGCGATATGCTTTAATGCGTGCGTCCAGATCCATTACCTTAAAAGATGATAATGAGAATTATAAATGAGTAAGTTATAAAATAGAATCAGAGATGAAGAAGATCGCTATGACTTTGCTTCTTCATCGACGGTCTTTAAATATCCGTCAATTGCATGACGGGTTTGTGGTTACGAGGGTTAAGCCTGTTTACCACAAACACATTTTACCAGTTTGCATCAATCTCTTGCTGTTTGTTGGCCAATAATTTTCTGTAAGACAACATATGAAGCCAATTGATAGCCAATAATCCTTTTTAGTCAAGACGGTTACACATTTGTGAACGACGCAACTACATTACTAGGGTATTTACTGTGCTTTGAATGATGAAAACAGTTTGCTATCATTCTCGAACTTCTAAAATGAATACAGGGGAAGCATAAAAACGTAAATGAGAAGCTATGTATCCTCAATGAATTCATTTCTGCAATGAACTTCTATGTCGAAACAATTACTGGACAGGGTTCTCATAGCACAACCGCACTCTGGTCTGTTTCACTCAGAAATGAAAATGTTAATTTCACGTGGCGCGTTCAATTGAAATGTTGAATAGTCGGTCAGTTGAACGATTGATAAGAAGTTCAATAAATTTTCTTTTTTTCCTCTTTGAAAATCTCGGAACGAAACAACTGGTAAGATAACCAGTACTAACTGTAGTTCAAACAAGTTCTTGATTGGTAAAAGCTTGATTACTGGATGAAAAACTGATTATTGTTTTGACCTTATTCAATCAAGCAATATCCGTATATTATTGATTAATGTAAAATATGAAATATATAACCCATATAAGGCATAATTAACCAGTTTGTAGCAGTCTAACTGTTTCGTTTGTTGTACTCTCCTTCCGAAAGCCATATATGTAGAAGATGAGGTGAAGAACAAATTGTCTTTCATCTTTTTCAAAAATTACAAAATTTTTCCAGTTCTGTCCAACAATTGAAATTTGAAAGAAGAAGAGTAAAAAAAGTGAAAAATTTCTTTTTATATTTATAATTACTTGACATATTCTTTTAAAAGCCTGAAAAAGATCGTCGGATTAGAAGTTGGTTGAGTAGCTCCGCCCCAATTTCCACGCAACCAATTGGCCGTTTCTCGTCCATTTCTCTAAGATCTTTCCTTTCCTCTTCCTACTTTCAACAACTTTTCACTCTTATCTACTTTCTCTCTCTGTTTTCCTTTTTTTTTGTTTTTTTTAAACAGTTTTTATTATAATTTTGTTAATTTTTAGTTAGCAATTGATTGATTGAACGAGACATCAGAATGTCCATAGCATCATCATTATCGGCAGCCTTTTTCATGTTAAGCATAGTAGCTGTATTGCTGTTATTAACTTCCTTAGTTGGAGCTCAAGAACCTACATATCTCAGTTTAGCCGAGAAAACTTATGTAAGTTTCCTTTCAATTGTACGTCATTTTCTTATTCAAATTATTTGCAGGCAAAGCCAACTACGGTTCGCGCACCAGGATTTGAATTAGCTTCTTCAGTATTCGATGAATTTGGCAATTTCCCGGAAGATAATTTGAAATATTATGGACGAGAGCCTCACGGTCCTCTTGAAGTTAGAAATGTGCTCTATAAGGTATTCGATTTTTGAAAGAAATAAATGATTGAGTAAACGAATAGAATGCTTTTACAGAAAGCTGAAATCCAACATGATCGTAGTGCTCGTCAAAGGTAAAGCTTGAGGGAGAATAAAAACACAAAAAAAAAGAAAGCATTAAAACAATAAATTATTTGACATAACTTTGTAGTGAAATACTGGTCGACAACTTGCTTGAGACAAGTGGAGTGACTGTTTCATCCATCTCATCAGCAAATTATCGGCCGCCACCTCCTCCCGTCAGACGTGAAGTCTTTATGAATGCACGTTGTTCTTTCGGTATTGTTATAATGATTTCATTGTGTTTCAAACATTCTCATTTTAAATAAATATGTAAGACGCTGAAAAGTGGGCTATGCATCCGCAATCTTCAATCTCTAATGCCGTCATGTTTTATCGGCTCACAGGCGTTTCATGCCAGAAATGCTTAAAAATATGTGAAAGTAAACAGGTCAATTGAAATTTTACTTTTAATACACTTATAAGTACATAATTAATAATAATCCAATTATCTATTATTTTACAGAAAAAGCCTTGGGCTTGTCGATCTGTCAGTTACGATCATCGTTGGGCTATCTGCGATCTCTTTGCTGTCACATCTTCAGCTGCACCCTTCTTTCTTGTTGATTATGACGGTCGAGATTACTTCGAGTATTTCATTGATGTACTGATTACCAGTTTCAATATAATATTTTAAGATACTTGGCTGCATTACCACCTGTCGGTGATGATTTGGTCGAAGCCCATGCTTTCTCTCATAAAGAGGAGGAATCAACTATTATTGATTGTAAGCGCGTATTAGATCAAGAACAGAAAAATGTATGTTTCAACTTGTTTCTTTCAGGTGATCATCTCCTTATAGGTAGCAGCCGGGGTCAAGAATGTGGAAAAATCATCGAAAACTTCTTACGAAGCTATACCGATAGCTAAACCAGAGATATTGAAAACAACAGTGAAACCCCGTCATAATTATTTCACACAATTGATGGAGATCAAGTTCAAAGACCGTTTTGTAGTTAAAGATTAGCTATGAAAACAAAATTTTTTTCTCTTTAGCCAGTCGTTCGTAGTGGGGAAACACCATCGTCTTCTGCGTCTTCAACTGAAGATGGGTCCAAAGAGGAGACTCATGAAGAGATCAAAATGTTAGGAGAACGTATTGAACACGAAAGTCTTGAACTATTCTCCTCATCAACTGAGGTTGAAAAATATAAACAAGAAAGAAAATCAATGAACAGAACATATTTTCAGAAACCAGTAGGAACTTCTGTATTGCCACAGCAAACTCCTCGTGCAACTAACATACCGCAGCAAATTTTCGTTCCGACAGCTACAACCATCTTCCCTGAAATTGAAGAAGAGTTCTCTGTAGTAACTCCTAACTATTTACGAACAACACAAAGAGAAGCAACAGAAGTTTCAGCTGAGATGAGAGTTCATAATTATCTGTCTTCAGTCACTACCGTAAAACCAACAGGTAAAGGATAGACAACAAGCGTACAGTTTCACGAATAATAATTACAGAAGTAGAAAGAGAGTCTATTGATATATATTCAGATAAGAAACATTTCGATGGTGGAAGAGAAATTGTATCTGACCAAGAGGAAAATGAGGTATAAGAGAGAAGTGAAGAACAACCGCTCAATGCGCTAGAGAGAGCATAAATGAAGCTTTGCGTTGGGACTGTTTGAATGAGAAATTAGCATACGCCTAGCAATGTATCAAATATCATTACCATTATAGGAACTAATAGAAGCAATCAAAGAAGAGTTAGGAAATGAACTACATGAGGTAAGTCTACTACACATTTCCATGTTAGGATTGAAATGAATGTTTGAATAGTCGTAAATGAGATCAGCAAGGCTGTTCGGAATGTGTTGTTTTGATCAAGTTTACAGCAAAATTAACAAATTTGCGTTGAGAGTAATTAGAACAAAACTTCATTTACTATTATTTTCTTAACAATATAACTTGATTTGAGGATTATAAGCCGGATTTCGCTTGTTCTGATAACCGTCATGTTGTGATGATTGATTTTGTGTCAACCAGTCGAACGCCATTCTCATCGCCAGTTCGAAGACTACTTGCTCGATCATTATCAGAATGTCGTAGTTTTTGCGCAAACGATCCCAATTGGTAATGAAAATAGAGAGAAAATACAAAAATGAGAATGAAAATTAAAAATTTTTAGTTTGTCCGCTATTTATGCGCCTACAGCATGTGAGTTAGCTAACACGAAGGCTACTTATCCACATGAGGAGCTTATATATTCTCCATCTTGCTCATACAGTCAGAAACTTTGTATTCCATATACTATACAGCCAAGTATGAATCCGTATATGTATTTAAAATCGGTAATCTTCTTTTTCTACAGATAGAGTAGGTGCGATTACAGCCTTCATGAACTATATGCTAGTTGGTAACGTAGAAGTCGTAGAAACGACGACAACGCTAGAAAAATGTGTGATTGCATGTCTTGACGTTTGTTTTCATTTTGCTCATTCAAAGCAATGTTAAAATACTTAAGGCTTATGATATATATGATGTTCGTTGCGAATCGGCAATGTTCATTGCAGATGACAAACAGCAGGTCTGAATACAATTGTCTTTCTCGTAACGTTCAAAACATATTTCAGAACTGCATTTTGAACTCAGCTAGTCGTTTAACTGATCCAAAACGCTTCGTTCCTGTATATGAAATGAATGTATGGACTATAGTTGTTTCATTGAGTTTATATATATCTTTTTGATTCTTCAGAACGTTGTTTCAAAGTTTGTTTACTTTGAATTTGCACATCTACCGCAAAAAGCAGCTTCCAAACATCGTCAGCGACGGATGAAGGTATACATACATCGAGAATCGGTTTTTGTTCTCAGAAAAGATTTTCTAGGATAGCATAGATTACAACTTCACGAAATGGTCGACGTGTCTTTATAATAGTACTACAAACGAGAATTATGGAAGAAAATATAAATATGAAAAGTGCTCCAAAGATGATATTCGCAAATGTCCAAAACATTCCACATTCTGTACTGCCGGAGCAGGTAATTTCCGTATTGACCATTCATCATAGCAAGCAACCATCCGATGTTTCAGTATCCAATTGAACTCGTCCTGTTAAGTGCCCTCAATTCAACTATGGCATATAGTATATATGAATATGATATTAGCTTCAATTGTTGTTGTGACCCTTCTTCTTGTCTCATTGGTGTCTTTCCTCAGATAAAGAATTTTATTTTCTCCAATGTCCGAAACTTCACGTCGTACAGCATTAGAACCATTTGAGCATGTTCTGGCTCGTCAGGAACCCAAGGTTCCAGGTGAACCTTTTCCCATGAAAGTGAGTTTGTGATTTGAAAACAGAGTGATATCATCATTCAGGTATATACTAATGA